TTCTAAAGATCATAACCTTTTGCTGGTGAAGAGTAGTTCAGAATTTTCTCACTACTCTCTCGAGAGCATGACCAGAAGAAAGTTACTGTCGTTGACCAAGTTGTTCAGAAGGTCAAGGCCTTTTCGTTGGTGGACAGTAGTTCAAAATTTTCTCAATACTTGGCGCTAGTACACACGTGAAATTCTCATATAAAATATCTCGAAATTATGACCAGATAGAAAGTTACTGTCTTAGGCAAAGTTTTTCAGGAAGTCAAGATCTTTTCGTTCGTGGAGTAATTAAGAAAATTCTCACTACGTGGCGCTAGTATACACGTGAAATTATCATATAAAATATCTCGAGATCCTGACCAGATAGAAAGTTACTGTCTTAGGCAAAGCTGTTCAGGAGATCATAGCCTTTTTGCTGATTAACAGTAGTTCAGAATCTTCTAACTAGGTAGTGCTCGTATACATATTACGTTCTCGCATGTGATACATCATTAGATCCTGACCAGATAGAGAGTAAATGTCTTTGGCAAAGTTTTTCAGGAAGTCAAGATCTTTTCGTTGGCGGACAGTTGATCAGAATTTTTTCACTACTCGGTGCTAGTATACACATGCAGTTTTCGCATATACTGTTAGTTACTGTTTTCGGCAAACTTGTTTAGGAGGTCAAGACTTTTTGGCTGGTGGACAGTAGCCTAGAATTTTCTCACCACATGGCGCTAGTAAACGTGTTCAATTCTCGCGTATGCTAAGCTCGAGATTCTGAACAGGTAGAACATTACTGTCTTCGAAAAAGTTGTTCATGAGGTCAATGCCTATTGCTTGGTGCACAATAGTTCAGAATTTTCACACAACGTGGCGTTAGTATACACGCAAAATTCTCGCATGTAAAATATCTCGAGATTCAGATAAGATAGATTTCACTAGTGGACAGTAGTTCAAAATTTTCTCACTACGTAGAGCTAGAATACACAAGAAATTCTCGCATGTGGTTTGTTGCGAGATCCTGACCAGATAGAAAGTTACTGTCTTCGACAAAGTTGTTCAGGAAGTCAAAGCCTTTTTGGCTGGTAAACATTAGTTAAGAATTTTCTCACCACGTGGAGTTAGTATAGATGTACACTTGTCGCATATGCTATATCTCGAGATCCTAATCAGATAGAAAGTTACATTCTACAACAAATTTGTTCAGCAGGTCTAAGTCTTTTGGCTGATGAACAGTAGTTCAGAATTTTCTCACAAACTCTAGGCTTTAACCTCCTGAACAACTTTGTTCAAGACAGTAACTTTCTATGTGGTCAGGATCTCTAGATATATAACAGGCACGAATTTCACATTTCACTAGCACTACGTAGTGAGAAAAATTTTGAACAGCTGTCCACGAGCAAAAATTTTGTGATATCCTGAACAACTTTGCCGACGACAGTAATTTTCTATCTGGTCAAGAACGTGAGATATTTTATTTGCGAAAATTTCACATTTCACTAGCACCATGAAGTGAGAAAATTCTGAACTACTGTCCACCAGCCAAAAGACCTTGACCTCCTGAACAACTTTGACGCATACAGTAACTTTCTATCTGATCAGGATCTCGAGATATAGTATATACGAGAAGTGTACATGTATACTAACGCCACGTGGTGAAAAAATTCTTAACTACTGTTTACCAGCCAAAAAGTCTTGACCCCCTAAACAACTTTGCCGAAGACAGCAACTTTCTAGCTGATCAAGATATCCAGCTATTTAGTATGCGAGAAAGACACGTATATACACTAGCCACGCATAGTGTGAAAATTCTGAACTATTGTCACCCAACAAAATGATCTTGACTTCCTGAAAAACTTTGCCGAATACATTTACTTTCTATCTGGTCAGGATCTAGAGATATTTTATATGCAAGAGTTTCACATCTATAGTAGCACCGCAAAGTGAGAAAACTCTGAACTACTGTCCACCTGTGAAAAATCCTGTTACGCCCTAATTCCAGCTCTATCTAGATTTCTATCTGATTGGGAACTCGAGATATTTTATATGAGAATTTCACGTGTATACTAGCGTCATGTAGTGAACAAATTCTGAACTATTTAGCACCAAGCAATTGATCTCCTGAAAAACTATGTGAAAGACAGTAACTTTCTATCTGGTCAGGATCTCGAGATATACCACATGCGATAATTTCACATGTATACTAGCGCTACGTGGTGAGAAAATTCTGAACTACTGTCCACCAGCGACAAGGCTATGGTCTCTTGAAATACTTTATCAGAGACAGTAACTTTCTATCTGGTCAGGATCCCGATATATTCCGTGTCGTAATCAATTAAGTCAAATCCCACGTAGTATGGTCACAGTTTTCGCGGTTTCCATTTACTTTTTCCCTATTATCCGCATTTTTTAGTTGTTAACTGTAATAAAAGTTTAGCTTGTTTAGATCAAAACAACACAGCAAAAAAATAATTTTGATATCACGTCAAAGTGGATGCACTACAATCATGTCGAAAATATGGTGTAATATTACTTGCTAAAAAGGACAAAATTATCATTAATACAATGCATGAACTGACATTACGCTGCTTTTACTGCATTTGTTTATTTATGTGGTCATAAAAATTACATGAAATTTTCGACATGATTGTAGTGCATCCACTTTGATGTGATATCAAAATTATTTTTTTGCTGTGAAGTTTTTTGAGGAATACTCGTTGGTTTCAGATCGATTGGTAACTCAGCAACAAAATGGCAATGGAAAACTCATGTGTGTTGTACAAAGTACAACAGCGCAAGTAACGGAGGGTTAACACTACTTTAAAACTTTGCAGAAGTTCAATTTTTCTTATAAAAATGCATAATATATATATAAATATATAAATATATATATATATATATATATATATATATAAATCTAACTATTAATTAACAACAATTCCACTAATCTCACTAACACTTGATGCTCAGTTGATCGAAAGAAAACGTCTTACCTTTAGTTTGGCGTTTATTGATATAGTCTCATTAAAAAAAAACCCCTATTTTCCTATCAGAGACGTGTTGGAAACCCGCGATCTCTGTCTAGCATAAGAATTGAATTCCTTTGTCCTTTGTCTCTCTTTATTAGTTTGTGTCTGTCTTGTCCCACCGTCTCGATGAGTCTCATCGTCGCCCACTGGTCACCATAGTCGGTCGAACTCCAGACGAAGCTAGAACCGCACTACCGTTCATACTGGCGACAACGCTCTGATGAGACAACGAAACCCTAGCTCCTCCGCTGATCCTTCAACAATGTACCCCTCTAATCTCGAGTAAGCCGCGAGTATTCGACCCAACTCCTACTAGACATAGATATAAGTGAATTTTGTTAAAAACAATGAACAATGAATTATTAGCTCCGTAAAGCTAACGCAATTGAGCCTTCCAAACAAATGAACTAGATAAAAAAATGTCTCATTAAATCCGGAGATATTTGTATTTTAGTTAATACACTTTTTAAAGGTGAATTTCCGTTTATTAGCTGAATCTCGAAAACTATCCTACTGAGATTTTTTAAACTACATTTTTGGATTCAGCGCACGATTTTACATAAGAATCATTGTTCAAAGATTCAAGTTATTTTTTTTTTACTTTTTTGTAAGCTAGTGTAATAGTTCAGCAGCCTATTCCGTAATGCTGAATGGAGATCGTTTTCAAGTAACAATCAGAAAACGCAAACATGCAGGGTGTTTCTTTCAAAACAAATAATCCAATTTGCATCCACCATTGAGAAAGAGTCATTCATCTCGTTATTCGATACGCAGAAGTACGCCTCTTACTGAGTGCAATAAAGCAAAATGAACACTCACCATCTGCATCAGCAACATCACCGCCGTCCGAGTTGTTTGAACTCATTACAAATTTTACAAAGAATCCCTATTACTACTGAAGGGTTGAACAATCCTGGACAAGGCGAATCTTTCTCTGTTCTCTGCAGAACCCATCACATGGAATATCTAATTAGTGTGATAATTGAGCGCACAGACAAGACGTTCTAGCGATCCCAATCAGGAAGAGGGGAATTTTTATCACTCGCGCACATTATTCTACTTCCATTATATGTACATTTCCCGGTTCAGTCTGATGCTGATTGGTCACTATTAAACCAGAGTTTAAACGCGCACGTCGTTGGCGTCAACCGTTTGTTTGTTGTTTTGCGCAGCGTCGTCGTCGTCGTTTGCGCTGACTGATTGATGCCTAAGTGGTTTAAACGTTTGTATAATCTATTAGCCGTGCGGAAAAAGGGGCTCGTTGCTGCAGATCAGTTTGCTTCTGCATTGCAATATACGGTTTATATTGAAGCAGCGAATTTGCATTTCTACTGAGAAAAGGCGCAAATTGTTTCGGAGGATTGATATGCAAGAGAATTTTATTGCAAGCACGTGCGGGTTGCGAAGACTTGGGTGTGTATGTGACTTTTAGTACTGTTGCTAAGGTTCAATAATAAGTGCAGTTATTGATCACCAAACTTTTTCGTCGTCGCCAACCACCAAACTTCATTCTACTAATTAATGGTGACACTCCAATCCAGAATCGCAAATACCTTTCCCCTTTCGTCCGTGCAAACAAACATATGCACGCACGTCAAAGTAGGCATATCGACCATAGCTCGCCCGTCAGCACTCGTCGCTTATAATACCAAACAAATACCAGCTACTGCAGCCGCGTTAAATAAAACTATAAAGACTAAAAATACCTAAATAAATAAATTCCGTCCACTTTACACATCGTCGCATCGTCTGTGTGACTGTCTGTTCTCGCCGTGTAGGTATAAGTTGTTACCGAAGCGTCGACTTCGTCACACTTTGTTCACCCGTCTCTCGTACTCCGTTGACACACTCCCATAGAGTAGCATTAGTGAACAACCACAATATCGCCCTCTCGCTCACCCCCACCCAGCGAACATACCGACTTGTTTAGATGTACGATTCGCGACTTTTGATCCAACCAACAATCGTCCTGATTCAGTTTTGTTTCGCTCCTTACAGATCCCAGACGTTGCCACAATGGAAACCACGGACAGCTCCAGCTACAAACGACTGATATGTAAGTATTGCCTGCCAACCACCCAAACACTCCTCGATTCTGGGCTTCCGGGGTGGGCTGCTTCCGAAAAAGCACCGCGCGTCATAATCCCCAGGGCGGCGGAGGGGTTTGTAATTCACTTTTCCTCTCGGTTTGCTTCAACACGCTGCTTCCAGTAAGTACCTATGCGGAGGAGCATCATCGTCGCATCGCATCGGTGCGGTGTACCATGAAAAAGCCTTGACATATATTTGTGTGGGTGTGATGTACCTGCTTGCACCGTTCCCATGATTCTTAGGAAAGACGAAGTGCTATTATCACATGTGATTATCGAGTTTAAATTTTTTTTTGGTGGGTTCGAGGCTTAAGCTCGTTGATGATTCATAGCTAGATAGTGTAACACGGAGAAGAAGTAATGATGATGAATGCCCTTTTCTTTATGACTAATGGGAGAGTTGTTGAAAGAAAGCTTCTTACTAGACTGGTTCAATATATTAACGCTTGTCAATTATCTCACTTATACAGTGCTTGTCAGGACAATAGAGCCACCGTCATTTAAAAACATTGTATCTTTGTTGTTTGTGAACCAATTGTTATAACTTATGAAATATCCTAAATGTTATCGTTGCTCAGAATTACACGCAATTTTAATATAAAACTTCTGAGATATTGACAAATATTTAAAATTGGATGCCATTCACTGAAAAAGTTGTTTGTCTTCATGATGTTGATATTCTTGACCATGATTGATCAAAACACTGCTGAACATAATCATAAAATTCGTAGGAATTGCTTCACAAAGTTGTTATGTTTGGCTTACTGACAGTTTATAAAAATATAATAATTTAAGCTTTAAAACTGTTAATACATCAATCCAAACCAGGGCTCCACATTTTCGAAGCTCTAAAATAAACTCGAGTTTTGTTTCTGTCATACAACGTGTTCAACGCATGATTTATTTAACCCCTAGCTAGACTATCAGCACGAAACGAAAATGAAAAAGCAGCACGCTTAGAAGGATAAGCTGGCTGTGGATCTTCTCGTCGTTGCTTTGCTCATCGCTTTCAATGTAAGTAGGAATGTCGATTTTCTAGTTAAACGAAACCTCATTCTGGCTTTCAATCCCTTTCACGAACACTCTATCACCGCTCTTTCAATTTGTTTAGAATGCGTTATGTCCCGTTTTCGTTATTTTTTTTTACGCAGGGCTACATCTGTGATTTCTATATGGGGGTTCACTTTGTGAAAACCGAAAATGGACCATGTATCAAAATCATGAAAGATTTTGAACGTTAATAACTCAGCTTTCCCTGGACCAATCTCAATCATTTTATCACTAATCCATCAGAAATTTGTTTATGCATCTGTTAAATTTAAGACATTATCATTTTTCAAAATGTTACTTTTGAAAATTGCACGATTGTACAACTGTTGCTAAGGTAATTAAAACTATCCCTTATTAATTGCCTGCTAAAAGCGACTTCCCTAACACAGATTTCAAAATTGAATTCTATCCGGTGTTTAACGGATAACGGTGTTTATTCAATCACCACGTGGTGAGTGGTGGTTTTCTCCAATACACAACTAAAGGCTCCCCGCAAGCAGCGAGCTGCAGCCCACATGAGCATCGATAGAAGGAGAATGAAGCCGCACCGCTATTGAGCGGAATCAGTAGCTCTTCGTGAGTCGCTGTGGGCCATCTATGTCAAGCGCGTCATACTAAAGAGTATAAACAGAGAGAACCCCGCTCAAATTCCTATTCCTACACAAAACACAAGCTCCTGCTGCAATTAACAAATAAGATTTATTATATAAGACCACGTAGTCCTACGTCACCATTGCGTGCAACCCCATAGGGCTATCCCTAGTAGTTTGTTGCCAACATTATTTTTCAATGAAATTCATACCGATTTCTTGTGGCAAAAACTCGTAAGTGGTTTTTACGTTTTTTGCCCCGTTGAATTCTTACGTTCTTTTGCCTCAGTGTAGTATCTTAGACTATACCGAAAAGAATAACAGACGAAGACGAGGCCAACGGCAGGCGCTAGGGAAATAAAAACGATTGGAAAAAGCGAGTTGCTAACACGGCAGAAAGCGGAAGCAAAGCTTAAGTCACCTCTCAGAAAAAGTAAGAAGAATTCATCAACAATCATAATCATAAATATTGTTTAGTTCTCGCGTAACATTTGAAAAGGGCCTTTCTGCGTTGATCGATTCTCTTCATCGACTTTCTCTTTGGTTTACCACGGCAACACAAACGAATTTATCTGTACGCTCGCAGAACAGTTCGACAGAAGATGATTTTCAATGGGAAATTCATTTGCAGTCGGATTATTCACGAAAAAGAAAATCGTCGAAGAGAATTAATCAACAATGATAGGTCCTTTTCTCGAGTTGCACAAGAATTATTATAAAATTATTTACTGGTTCTCTCCTCCGTAAAGTTTAGTGTTGGACATTTTATCTTTAATAAATAAAGTGATTGAAAAAAAAAAATCCACCTATAGGTTAATTTTGGCGTTTTTAAAAGACATGTTTGTGACTTTACGCCATTTGATCGTTTACAAGACCATTTTAGTGATTCTTAGCCATTTCTAAGGCCTTTTTGTCAATTCTAAAAGACTTTTGGAGCTTTAGGGATAGTTTTGGCGGTTAAATTTATTTTTCACGCTAACTCGAAAAACGCATTAATGGGTTAAAAATACCCATTTTAAAGTGAAATGGCTTAACTCGTTAATGAGTAAATTTTACACCCATTATTGAGTATCTGTTACCCATTAATGAGTAACTTTTACCCCATCAATGAGTAACAGTAGCTCATTGATGGGTAACAGATACTCATTAAAGGGAAGTTTATCGCCTCGAAAATAAAAATTGGTTTTCGGCACGTTTTTATTTTTAAAAATATTGGGAAAATTTATCAAAAGTCCTAGATTCCTGAAAAAAAATATAAGTAAAAATATTTTTCCTATCTCATCATGAAAAAATTGGACCCGAAAGATCGATGTTTTGTGGTTTTTTGAGTCCAACTTCATGCCATGATGACTTACAATAATGTTTTTGCACGTGATTTTTTTTTTAGAAAATTAGAGAAAAAAATGTAGTGGAAATGGATGTAATGTCGGCCTAAATGCCCCTAATTTGGGCCCCTACATAAATTCAGCAATCGACTAAATCTTCAATAGCGACCAAAAATATCCATTAGTATCGTCACAATGACGCGTTCTTCTAAATAAAATTGATAAATAGTAGATTTTTAGCGATGGGCTCAATCTTAGATCGGTAGGCCAACATTTGAGCCATTTCCCCTATTTAGTTTTTTGATATCTTTTTCCAATATTTTTAGAAAAATCAAAAAATATGTTTTCCTCTTCATGGCAAAACAAAATTTACTCTATAATGAGTTGAACCACTTCTCTTCAAAATGGGTATTTTGTACCCATTAATGGATACTTTTAAGTTAGCATGTATACTACTACGGCCATTGTGGTGGTTCTACACACTTAGTTTTGTTTTCGCCAGGTCGGCAATTTTTACCAAGATTTGCGCAGCAACAAATTTTTCTTCTCAGCAATGGTGTTGCCATGGTTATTTTCCCGTTTGTTTCCTGCCGGGAAAACCTCGGTCGCGCGTGATCTATTTTGCGGTTTTAGTTAGAACATAAGAAAAGCGATACTGTCGGTAAGATATGGACCCGACTTCAAGAACATAGTTGATTATTTGGGGGAAAAGACATTACGATTTATCCCAGGCTACTATTGTGAAAAATCGTAAATGGTAGATATTGGGTGGAACGCTTCAGAATGTTTAGAAAAAAATATGATGCACGCTTGATCCAGTTTGGGATACATTATTGACTGCTTTTGAGAACGTTATTTCATTTGAATAACGTGTTTAATCAGGCCCTAAACAATCGTCTCGTCAGTCAAAGCTTGTTATGATAGCCTAAACAATGCGTAAAGAGCAAATCGAAACTTTGAACGTCGTGTGAAAATTTAACTTAATGAAGCTTAACCTAAGTCGTAGCTTTGTCAGTTGACTTGCTTACTGAGCAAAAAACGCGGTTCCAAGTCCTTTCATATTAAAGAGATTTATGATCAAATCGCTTGTTTATCACGTATTTTGCGAAACTTGTCGTCGTCGTCGTCGTCGTCGTCGTCGTCGTCGGTGCCGGATTTGAATGATTACAACAACTCGAGTAACGGTATGAGTGATATAAGGGACTCGATGGCCTGAGAGCAACCGTTTTTGCTTACTGAGCAGAACATCAACGCGTCTAATCTCAGGCCCATCCACATTCAAGATTCGTCAATGTTCAAAGCCACGCGCCGAAAGCACTGCTGCTGTTGCCGGCGACCGGACACCACTACACACGGTGATTGGAACTAAACCCGATCAGCGGTTGAGGACAGCCTTTCATTGTGTACTGGAGAACACCACCACTCACCACGCGGTGATTGAATAATTCAATATCAGACCACTTTCATGCCACAACCGACTTTGGTTTTTGAAATTGCACCCCCAATGTTGCCTTAAAGTACATGGTATGTTATAAAGGGTGATACGGTCAAAATTTGGTCAAGAGAAAACGCGTGTAAATTGGTGAAATCGTTTATTTAAAGAATCAAATTAAATTTCTTTTTCAAGTTCAATTAGTATAAAATTCAGGAAAAATATTCAGTTAGGCTTCCGCTTTTCCAAATCCGAATTGCCGGGCCTTACGCTTGACCCCTGCCATCAGATTTTGTACAGCCACCTTGTCCACCTTCTTCGCCGCAGAAAGCCAGTTTGCCTTGAACTGCTGCTCGCCCTTAGCAGTTTTTTTGGTCTTCTTTAGGTTCCGCTTGACAATAGCCCAGTATTTCTCAATTGGGCGGAGCTCTGGCGTGTTGGGAGGGTTCTTGTCCTTGGGAACCACCTGCACGTTGTTGGCGGCGTACCACTCCATGGCCTTTTTACCGTAATGGCAAGATGCCAAATCCGGCCAAAACAGTACGGAACAACCGTGTTTCTTCAGGAAA